ATCTGATATTTAGATGGAAAACAGGGCATCTATCGCTAACATAGAGGAGAACAACTATTAGTTTTACATGTTATGAAGCACTTTCAAGATGATTGTGAGTGGTGGGTTGGTTATGGAGTTATAAGGTGGGTTTTAGGTTGGGGTAGAAGATGAATAATACTGAGTTTATCAGGTATTTCATGGGGTTGTACACTCAAAGTCAATGTGGGTTAATGGATAATTGGTCAACAAATGTCTATGTGTCAAAGGGGTAACCGAGTGACCCCTTCATTTTGCCCAAAAAGATGTAATCGACCAGATAAAACGACTTCGTTCCCTCATAAAACCACAAAAATAGTTTAGAGACTAAATTGACAAACAAACCTTAGAAAGTTCGTACAACATTTGTGTCGTTTCCCGTTATTTACATATAGGTATGTCTACATGACAAAAGAAACTTATAAAATCTGAAATTTATTTGATACATAAATAACATGTAAGGAAACAATTTACATGAATTAGTAGAGACGGCAATAAGACCCATTTTCTTATCAAAATAGTGAATATAAGTTAAATAATCAAATTAAAAGAGAAACAAATAAGTTAATCGAAAATCATCCAGTATTTTTAATTTGTACAACCTCCAAAAAATTATGTCATCATTATTATAATAATAAAGTTATATAATCATTTATAAAACATAAAAATACAATGTTTTTAGAACGAATAGATCCAAACACAAAAAATATATATTAATTCTTTACCAGTCTCGAATTCTCGGGGCCATAAAAAAATCCTTTTACGAACTGGGCCTTCCGTTAGTTTCAACAATGACTCAATAGAGCCTCTGGGCCAAGCCCACAGAAAAAGGAAACCCTAACGCATCAATATCAGGGTTTTATTGCCTTCATCCCTTCATTTCTGCGCCTCTGTTTCCGTCTTCTCTTCTCCAGCTCCCAAATCGCAGGTTCGATCTCTGTCTTCTCTGATGCTCAAATGACTTCCATGACTATCTAATTTGATGATGTAGCTTATCTGTTAGCAATCAATGGAGATATTATTTGTTGCCTGATATAAGAATTATGATGTTTTGTGATGGAAATTTTACTGATTTGTTGTTTTGATTCCTTGTTTGCACCTGCGTCTGCAGGTAAGGTGCAGATACGAGAGAGTAAAAATGGTGGATAAAACTAAAGGAAGAAAAGAAGAGGTTGTTACCAGGGAGTACACAATCAACCTCCACAAGCGCCTCCATGGATGGTACATACTTGTTTCATTCGTATAAATTATTCATATATGCTTATTCACTTCGGTTGAACTTTGTTTCGAAGCCTTATCTTTGCAAACATCTGTATTATACGATCGCGTTTATGTTTGACCTTGATTGTACCCTATATGTAAAATTTTCATCTGTGTTGATCAACAGCACATTCAAGAAGAAGGCTCCCAAGGCCATTAAGGAGATCAGGAAGTTTGCCCAGAAGGCCATGGGGACAACAGATGTGAGGGTGGATGTTAAGCTAAACAAGTATGTTTGGAGCCGAGGAATCAGAAGTGTACCCAGGAGGGTTAGGGTTCGTATTGCCCGCAAGAGGAACGATGATGAAGATGCAAAGGAAGAACTTTACTCGCTTGTCACTGTTGCAGAGATCCCAGCAGAGGGGTTGAAGGGACTAGGCACTAAGGTCATCGACGATGAAGATTAATTCATCAAAATCCAACCTTTTTGAAACAACTGGCAGAGTTTAGTTTTTATTTTTATCCTTGCTACTTTTATTTGGATTCTAGTAATTTACATTTTCCTTGAATCTATTACATTTTGTCTTTGATGGATTATGGTAGCTCATTTGTGTTGTCTTTGAAAGAAACTATAATGCATGTGCTAGTTTTAACGTGTCTCCTGTATAGAAGGTTTCTTACAGAAGATCATATCCCCTTCATAACTCTTGACCTCTTGTTTAATCCTCTTTCACAATTCATACCAAAACTAAACAATTCTGTAGTTGTAATCTGCTTCACTCATAACTCATATGCCATTGGACAAGTAGGGGTGCCAATTATATCTTCCCGACCCTTTCTTTGGTTTTCAAGCAATTGCAGACTGAATGGTCTATAACCCTTTTACTTGGTCTTGACTGCTGCCTGGGGCTTCTAAACAAGTGGGGTTAACATCGTCTCTTGCACAGATGAGCTTGAAGTAGTGGTATTAAAAAAAACCAAAACTGAAAAATCAAACCGAACCGGATGATATTTGGTTTATTTGGTTGCAGTTATTTAGTTTATGGTTAATTAAAAAGGATCCCTTATTTGGTTTGGTTATGGTTAAATTTTTATTGTAATTTTCCATGTAAAAGATCACTGTTGCCCATTGGTACTTTTGCAACAAAAAAAAATTCATTACAACGACAGTCTAACAAATGGCCATAGCATCCAACTGTATGCAAATTTCCATAAGAATTCATTATAATAAAACATAAACAATTTGAAACGAAAAAAAGCCATAAAAATTACACATGTTACACACATCTAAATTGTATGTAACCAAAAGGATCCATGGTTTGACAAACAAATTATGTCCCATAAAGCATGCTCCAACATGCAAATAAGTCATACATAGATAACTTTATCCTCGGAAATGTCATAAAACCTTGAGCTACAATGCAAATAAGAGACGTACACGGATAACTTTCTCCACAGAAATGTCGTAAACAACCCAAGTAAATCCTCAATATATTTAGGCATCACTCTTAACCTAGCAAATATCATTCTCATCCACCCATATACAAGGGAGATAAGGTAAAACTCTTCATGTCCAAAATGTAGTTTGTATCCTCTAGCTAGAAACTACAATGCACCATCGTCATGTTAATGATGAATCATTGAAATCAACATCGTATGGATGAGCGAAGGATCCCCATTCATATTACACAACTCCAACAACAATCCAAAATATGAATTTCTAAATAGTTTCACTGGAGTTGGAGTAGAAGACAACCTTTTCCTTATTTCATTCATAAATAGCACATTCATCTTGATAGTCAATAAGGACGGGTAATAACCATTGATCAAACGACATTTTAGACAATGATGATATATATCGAATCACACGGAAAATACAATTACATATTCGCACTCATACCATTACAACAACGTCAATGTGAATAATTTCAACCATTCATGCATGGTTAATGGATAGTTGTGCGGGTCTCGCGAACCAACATGAACTATTATGATTCCCTTAAAACTACCTCAATTTTAGTGAAGGAAATGATATTTTATGTAAAAATACCTCAATTTTAGTGAAGGAAATGATATTTTATGCTTATCAAACCCAAATAACCAAAACAAAATAACATTAAATGCTAAAGTCCACTGCCAAGTGTGTTCAACTAACAATTACGCTGTTACAATAAGAACAAAAGTTTAATGATTACTTGCTTGCATCACATTCATTTTTATCAACCCATGATCCGCATGCGCAAACAAAAATGATGACTTTGGTTCATTTTTTTGTTGTGAAAGAGATGGCAAACGATGATGACGATGAAAACGAACTTTTGAAAAGTGTGGACCCGTCCTTTTGTTTGAAAGGCTTAATATTATTAGAAGTTAGCAAGAAGCTAGAAAACTTGCAATTAATTGTGAAGACTTGGTTTTAAATCCAAAAGACCTTACTAACTTGCAGTTTACCAAATCTGAAATTAAATGCATTATAAAAACTCGTTACAATACTACCAAATAATGTTTCTTTCCTAGTAGTCTTCGATCCAAAGATAAGGGAGTTGCGGTAGTTCCAGATAACCCACCACATAGGCACTGTAATTGCTTCAATGACACTTTTCTTAGTGTGAAAGACCTTCAACGAGTCAACTTGATTAAAATGATCTTTGTTCGAAGAGAAACACATAAAAGAAAGGTTACTCCATCTAAAAACATGACCCCACAGTTGTGAAGAAGCTACACTGGCTAAGAAAACGTGAAACGACTATTTCGATTCGGAATCACACATAAGACATCCCAAAATCTAATCATTTATCTGATTTCTGAGCACTGCAATTGTGAATCTTTCAATGTAGGCCAACACCCAACTCCACGAGTCATTTTTTCTCCAATAATACAAACGATTCCGGGAGCTGAAGAAGAGCCAAAAGCTCTTGGTCCTTGGCTCCACATTGTATGGTCCACCTCCATCCCTAAATCCAACCATCGGAACCTCGACAATCTTTAACTGAGCACTCTTTGTTTATTTCTAGCAAAAGCATATGCGGAAATACGTTCACAAGCAAGTCTTCCCAGCCAAAGTTCTGTCGATCTTGGTCAATGCTCCATCTCCAATCCTTTTTTTTTTTCAAAATTGTATGTGGAATCAACTTTTTTTTTTTTTTTTTTTTTTTTTCGTGAAGTTGGTTAATAGAACCAACTATCGAGGACCAAACTCGTTTATTCTTCAATCCTTCAATACTATAGCCAAAACCCCCATAGACACCATGACTAGCTTTGATATTTGTGTTACCTTCGTGGTTCGCGAGGTTTGTTTTGAGGATTTAATGGTCATTTTGTTAAAGCCATAAAATAAGAGTTATACTAAGGTATACTCTTCAGATAAATGTTCATTTTAGCGAAAAAGCTCTTCAAACAAATGGTCATTATAGTTTTGGACTTTGCAATTCACAAATATGCTCGCTTTTATGGTCATTATTGATCTAAACCATGCCTTAACATTAAAATAGTAAAGTAATCATTTTTTTGCCTTATATTTTAACATACATTGGCATATTTCTTTTCATCTTGGTAAAACCCAAAAGCCAACGACACTAAAAAACGATAAAACTTTGTATGTAATATATCCATATCAAACCGAAACGGTGGAAACAAATTAAAAGCCAATATGAATACTGAGAATAAGTGAATAACCCATAACTTTCCGACCTCACTTTGTGAGTTAATGTCAATACTCAATACAATAATCAATTTGCAACATAATTTCTCTATTCCAATACAAAATCTTATATTTATTATCCTCATGGGATTGGCGAATTCGAAGATCTAAACGATGTCCCACAAGAAAAAGACTTCATAGATGGGATTCTAAGACAACTCAAACTACCACCGGGAATCATATCACACTCTGGCTCAGGCCTTTGCATCTCCCTCCCTGGAATACAGTTCAATGCAAAATCAAATCCCACATTCCTACCATACAATTTCCCACATTCTTGACTAAACCCAGAAAAGAAATTATAAGCAACACTCAAATTCATCAACGATTTCAACTCACAAACCAGATCTGGCAACTCACCCGACAACTCATTGTGTGCAACATTCAACACTTCAATATCTTCCAAACAAGAAATCGAATCAGGGATATGACCCATCAATGAATTGAAACTCGCATCAAAAACTTGTAAATCTGACCACATTCCGATTCCTTGAGGGATACAACCGCTTAATTGGTTGTTCAAGAACAGGATTTCTTTCAATCCGGAACTAGAATACCCGAAGCTAATCGGAATGTCACCTGTCAACTTGTTATTGGCTAAATTGATTACCGAAGCAGGGGAATTGCCTAGACTTTGTGGGATTTGACCTTCGAAATTGTTGTTATTGAGTAGAATTGCGTCAAGATTCTTGGTGAATACAAGGTCTGGAATGGGTCCTGAAAAAAGATTGAATCTGAGGTCTAGATACACCAGATTTGGGATTTGGAGGATTATAGTAGGGAAAGGTCCGGAGAATTGGTTATTGCTGAGGTCAAGTTCAGTGAGGGCAAAAAGGTCTTTTAAGCTATCTGGGATTGTGCCTGTGAAGCTATTGCTGTTGAGGTGGAGGAGAGTCATGTCTTTGAGGAGGGAAAGCTCCTTTACGAGAATACCCTCGAGACCACCATGGTTAAGGTCTATCCCTGTAACTGATGAATCTTGACAGAAAACTCCTTTGTAATCACACACATTTGACCCGACCCATGAGTTCAAGATTCCTTTAGGGTCATCTTTGATGGCTGACTTCCATGCTTGGAGGGCAATGTAAGCATTGTTGAGAGTCGATGTGTTTGAGTTTGACCACCCGTTTCTGGTGGTTCTTCCACCACCAACAAAACCTCCGGCGCCGCCGTGAACTGCAAGTAGAAAGAGTAAAGAAAGTAATAAAAGTTTAGTTTTTTCCTCCATTTCTTTGGGGTTGTTCTTGGAGTTGGGTGTGTGTTTTTACAGAAATTTATTGGGGAAGATGATGGGGGTTGGTCTTGCATTAAATGATTGTCTTTGAATCTCTTTATGTAAAGCACTTAAAAATTAGATGATTTAATATAGCAAAAATGCAGAAAATAGTGTTTGAAATATGTTTTTGGTATTTAAGAATAGGTAAGCTTTTAGAAAAAAAGTCTTTATATTAAATGATGTTTATCATAAAAATGTACTACTAACTTTTTTTTTTAAGCTATTGGTTATTTGATTTTTTTGTACACCTTTTTTTACATCACTAGATTGTGTCCCATTTATGATGGTTACCTTAATGCCTATATGGTTTTTCTTGCTCATTGTGAACCTATTTTGAACAACAATCATAAATATATCTTATATAAATTAATAAAAATCCTTTGATTGATAAGTGGATTTATATAAAGCCATGAAGCACATAGCAAAAAAAAAAAAAAAAAAAGTGTGAAAGTAAACGTTGTACTGTATGGATTGCAGCTATTCTCCATGGGTATACCCACATGCACTTGAGTAGTGTGGTCTGCCTCCCACACTATACGTGGTGCTCATTAAAGGTTGATCAATAAATCAAACCTAAGAAACAATTAATTGAGTTATGCTTTTATTATCACAGATATATAGCATTTGAATCTAGAAAGTTTATGTAGTATGAAGTATGTAATGGTACATTGAGTACCTTGAGAAAAAAGACAGAAGACACATCGATATTTGAATATATTTAAAAGAGAAAATGATTAGGGAAGACTTAGAGATCAAGTTCTCCATTTGAATATATTCCAAACACTTTTGTATCATTTAAGCAATTATATATTTGTTTGGCAAAACTGTTGGAAATTATAAGAGAATAAGCCGATTTGTGTATTTTCGTTTATCTATATTGGTGGAGAAGAAACATTTTGTGGGCTTATATTGTTTTTCTCTTGATAGGCCTTCAAAGGTTTAAGCGGATCAAGAGATTGGTCAAACCCACACACGCGCCTAACCTAGCCGATGTCGTGAATGCGTGAAATGACGCGATTTAGGCGCACTTGACATTTCTGTAGAGTTCAGGTCAAGTCGGTTTGAGTGACCTGGTCAAAAAGTTGACCGTCGTTGACTTCGTGGATGAGGATACAAAATCATCTAGAATCCTCTAGAAAGAGCGGATAGACTTCATGTTTGAATTCGAATAAAAGCATATATCGATATCTGATTCGAAATTTAAACTGTCACGTGTCAACCTGTGAGAGGCCACTTAGTCACCAGGTCTGATTTTTTTGGGGCCTCTAGGGTTTTCGTCCACTATAAAAAGGACCTCCCAGGTCCCATTTAAACACACACACAAAAAAAATCCTCTCTCTCAAGCAATCACAACTTTCTTTATTACAACCCTAAAAGCGAACTGAGTATTCGCTTTGTGTTTATCGTTTTCCATTGTTGTTGGAGAACTGATAAATCTGCATTAAATCCAGAGGTTTTATGTTGTTTATTACAACCCTAAAAGCGAAGTAAAAAACTTTAAGGACAAGAGTTCGACCCATGTAGTTTTCTACAATCAAGATCAGTCATCAACAGTTCGGTTTTACATTCTCGTTTCACATTTAAATTCGTCCAATAACAGGTCAATCTGCTTCTACTCATTTCTTACTACCAGATCTCATCGTGAAGGATAATTCTGATTTCTGGACGTAACTTGGTAACAATAATAATAATAATTGAATTTATTATCTTGCGACATCTGGACGCTTTGATTTCTACTCCTTTCTTACAATCAGATCTAATCGTGAATGATCATTCGTTTGTTTGTCAATTCTAAATAAGTTGTGAATTACTCCATAATACTAATTATCAGATTGTTTAAATATCAAGATTGAATTTCAACAAAAACTAGTTGGTACCAATTATGTATTTATTTGACAAAACTAGTTGATAGCTGTAACTTTTATTTTTGCATAATTGTTCGTAAAAAATAATTAGCTATTAAATGTGAAAATTACATAAAAATTAAAAGCAAAAAGCTATGAAAAGCAAGTAATAACTTTTGGATTAGAGTTTTTTTGTTTAAAATAAAAACTAAAATATTCTACTACCGAAACGAAGTTTTTTTTTGTTGAGTTCTCTCTCTCTCTCTCTCTCTCTCTCTCTCTCTATATATATATATATATATATATATATATATATATATATATATATATATATAAAATACATAAACCTTTGGAAATCATAAAACCTAGAAAATCAATAAAAATACATAAAAAATAAATACTTTGAGATATCTAATTTTTTCTTACTTTACAAAGCTAAAAATTGCAATTTTTCATACCTATTCGCTTAAAAAAACTGAATTTATATATATATATATATATATATATATATATATATATATATATAATGTGAGATTCAATAAAGAACCATATATATATAAGGTGAGATTCAATAGATGTACACTTGTACATTGGACGCACACAGACCGGATTATACCAAAAAATTCATCTCCTTACCAAAAAACTCACCTCTTTTTTTGTAACGCCCTGTTCTGAAAGTATTCGTTTATGGATTTCAGAGCCCGAGGTAAGGGGTGTTTCAGTCTTTTATGGGCTTTGAGTTTTAGGCGAGAATATTTCGGGCCGAAAGGTGTTGCTAGAAGCGTAGGGCTTCTCGCCACCTTTTCGTGGATTTAAAGTTCGTCGGAAACGGACTTAGAATCAAGGAGTTATAGCACTTTGAAGTTATTGGCATAAATGGCCCCTAAAGGAAATATTTGGCAAGTAAGTCCCATGCATGCAAGGGATGCATGCACGTGTTTGGCTGGGTACGCCCAGCGTATAAGGAGGATTGGTCGCAGATGCGGAGAGGCGTACGCCCAGCGTACGAGATGTACGCCCAGCGTACGCTTAGAGTCTCAAAACCCTAATTTTAGGGCATGCCACTGTATAAGGAACATAATGGCTCAAACCCTAGCCTCCTTATCTGTCCCTCAACCTCAGAAAAACCCTAGAACGCCGCATCCCTTCATTCTTGTGAGGTCTTGACCTTGGGAAGCTCATTTTGGTGGTGTAAGCTTGGAATAGCAAAAGGAGAAGTTGGCAAGGAAGAACTTGGGGAGTTGGAGCTCATAGATCTGGAATACCATCAGCATTTGGAACACTTTTGAGGTATAAAGCTCATAACTTTACTTAAGAATGTTTAGATCTAGTGTAGTGTAGTTTTGGAGTTATTTTGGTCCCAAGAATGGACCTTTATGATGAAATCTCGTTTGTGAGCTTAGGGCTGCCACCCTTAGAGCTAAAAGGGTTCCATAAGCAGTAAAGTCTCCATCTCGGGTGTCTTAATGGGTTCATGCATGAGATATAGCCCTCTTTATGGAAGTAGATTATCATTTTGGAGTTTGGACTTGTTTGGGCAAGTTAAGTCACCAAGTCAGTGACTTTATGGATTAAGACATGGAAAAGGACATGGATCTGTGTTTATAGCTTCTAAATCCGTGTATTAAGCACTTTTATGGAAAAAGGACTTAACAGGGGAGTAAGCTGAGCTTACGTGCAGGTACGCCCAGCATACGCATCAATTGGCCTTTACGCTTAGTGTACATTGGAGTACGCCCAGCGTACTCATCAGGTTTGGGATTTGTGCATTATGGGCCTTGGTTTGGGCCATGTAGTGGACTTTGGGTCTTAATGGGCCATCAGTAGTCAGATAATATGGGCCAAGGAAATAGTTGGGCTTAGAGTGAGGCCTAATAGAGGGAATGGGCCCAATTTAGCAAATTGGGCCATTAGTAGGCCACTAGTGGGCTTGGAAAGCTTACATAGTTTTGGTCCTTAGATATGGACCAAGTTGGGTTAGGGGTAGAATGGTCATTTTACCCCGGAAGGGTTATTGTATTGTACTAAGTGATGTTTGGTATTGGTAGTTGGGAAGCCAAAGGGTCAGCAGTTCGGGAATTGCCAGTCAGCAGCCAGAGGAGTATCAGCAGGGTTCAGCAGTGCGAGGTGAGTCTCCTCACTGTGTGCATGGGTCTACAACCACAATGTTGGCCCATTATGTTTGTGTATAGTAGGAAGACCTGGGGGTTAGCCCTAGGAATTATTATGATATATGTTCCGGATTACGATCCGATGCCGGGCGAGGCCCGAGGAATGTTAGTATGCTAGTTATACTTGTTGTCTGTGTGATACTTGTATGTGCCTGGTAGGGAGGTGAGTGTGGGCGAGGTCTCGTATCTCATAACTATCCGAGTATGGACGGGGTTCCGTATCTCATTAGTAGCAGAGCAGGGGCGAGGCTCGAGTTAGGAGGGAGGTGAGTGTGGGCGGGGGCCTGTATCTCACTACCAGCAGGAGCGTGGACGAGGTTCCATGACTCATCAGTAACAGGACAGGGGCGAGGCCCAAGTTAGGCGAGGCCTTGGAACAGGAGTATAGTAGAGTATGTCTAGCTATTGGTTATGTGTTATGTTATATGTTTGTATGTGTTTAGCGAGCGAGGCCCAGAGACAGGTCGGGCCTAAGAGAAACAGATATGTATACCGAGCGGGGCTCGATGCCAGGCGGGGCCTGATGCCGGGCGGGGACCGATGCCGTAGTTAGTCCGATGCCGGGCAAGTCCCGATGCAGCGGTCAGGGGCCCAGTATGTGGTTATGTATGTGGTATGTGGTAGATTAGGGAACTCACTAAGCTTCGTGCTTACGGTTTTTAGTTTTGGTTTCAGGTACTTCCGGTAGCGGAGGGAGGAGCTCGGGGTGATCGCATGACACACACCATCTTTGTTTAGCCTGGGATGTTTCACTCTGATATAAAAAGAATATGTTTTGGGATTATACTCTGATTGGATATAACACTTTTGTTTATGAATGCAATGGTTGATAATTATGCCTTTTATTAATGATTTAAAAATGAAATTTTCGGACCGTATTTTTAAGGATGTTACATGTTGGTATCAGAGCTTTGGTTTGAGGGATTCGGACACACTC